AATAAAAGTGACATGATATGGCCAATATCACATAGCTCCTTTGATCTCCATCTTGGGGCTCCATGATCATCTTGTCACCGGCATGACACCATGATCTCCATCATCGTGTCTCCATGAAGTTGCTCGCCAACTATTACTTCTACTACTATGGCTAACGCATTTAGCAATAAAGTAAAGTAATTTACATGGCGTTTCTCAATGACACGCAGGTCATACAAAACATAAAGACAACTCCTATGGCTCCTGCCGGTTGTCATACTCATCGACATGCAAGTCGTGATTCCTATTACAATAGCATGAACATCTCATACATCACATATATATCATTCATCATTCATCACAACTTTGGCCATATCATATCACAAAGCACTTGCTGCAAAAACAAGTTAGACGTCCTCTAATTGTTGTTGCAAGTTTTACGTGGCTGAAGTAGGGTTCTAGCAAGAACGTTTTCTTACCTACGTGAAAGCCACAACGTGATTTGTCAACTTCTATTTACCCTTCATAAGGACCCTTTTCATCGAATCCGCTCCAACTAAAGTGGGAGAGACAGACACCCGCCAGCCACCTTATGCAACTGGTGCATGTTAGTCGGTGGAACCGGTCTCACGTAAGCGTACGTGTAAGGTTGGTCCGGGCCGCTTCATCCCACAATTCCGTTGAAGCAAGATAAGACTAGTAGCGACAAGAAAGTTGACAACATCAACGCCCACAACAAATTGTGTTCTACTCGTGCAAGAGAACTACGCATAGACCTAGCTCATGATGCCACTGTTGGGGAACGTTGCAGAAAACAAAATTTTCCTACGGTTTCACCAAGATCCATCTAGGATTTCATCTAGCAACGAGTGATCGGATTGCATCTACATACCTTTGTAGATCACGCGCGGAAGCGTTCAAAGAACGGGGATGAGGAAGGCGTACTCGACGTGATCCAAATCACCGGAGATCCTAGCACCGAACGGACGGCACCTCCGCGTTCAACACACGTACGGTCAGTGTAACGTCTCCTTCTTCTTGATCCAGCAAGGGGGAAGGAGAGGTTGAGGAAGATGGCTCCAACAGCAGCACGACGGCGTGGTGGTGGTGGAGCTGCAGTACTCCGGCAGGGCTTCGCCAAGCACTATGGAGGAGGAGGATGTGTTGGAGAGGGAGAGGGAGGCACCAAAGATGTGTTATGAGAGGCCCTCCTTCCCCACTATATATAGGGAGTCCAAGGGGGGGGGGGCGCCGGCCATAGGAGATCCAATCTCCTAGGGGGGGTGCGGCCAAGGGAGGAATCCCTCCTCCCCAAGGCACCTAGGAGGTGCCTTCCCCCTTTGGGACTCTTCCCTTCTTGAACCCTAGGCGCATGGGCCTCTTGGGGCTGGTGCCCTTGGCCCATGTAGGCCAAGGCGCACCCCCTACAGCCCATGTGGCCCCCCGGGGCAGGTGGCCCCACCCGGTGGACCCCCGGGACCCTTCCGGTTGTCCTGGTACAATACCGGTGACCCCGAAACTTATCCCGATGCCCGAAATGGCACTTCCTATATATAATTCTTTACCTCCGGACCATTCCGGAACTCCGCGTGACGTCCGGGATCTCATCCGGGACTCCGAACAACATTCGGGTTACTGCATATACATATCCCTACAACCCTAGCGTTACCGAACCTTAAGTATGTAGACCCTACGGGTTCGGGAGACATGTAGACATGACCGAGATCGCTCTCCGGCCAATAACCAACAGCGGGATCTGGATACCCATGTTGGCTCCCACATGCTCCTCGATGATCTCATCGGATGAACCACGATGTCGAGGATTCAAGCAACCATGTATACAATTCCCTTTGTCAATCGGTATTCTACTTGCCCGAGATTCGATCGTCGGTATCCCAATACCTCGTTCAATCTTGTTACTGGCAAGTCACTTTTACTCGTACCGTAGTGCATGATCCCGTGACCAGACACTTGGTCACTTTGAGCTCATTATGATGATGCATTACCGAGTGGGCCCAGTGATACCTCTCCGTTATACGGAGTGACAAATCCCAGTCTTGATCCATGTCAACCCAACAGACACTTTCGGAGATACCCGTAGTATACCTTTATAGTCACCCAGTTACGTTGCGACGTTTGGTACACCCAAAGCACTCCTACGGTATCCGGGAGTTACACGATCTCATGGTCTAAGGAAAGGATACTTGACATTGGAAAACTCTAGCAAACGAACTATACGATCTTGTGCTATCTTTAGGATTGGGTCTTGTCCATCACATCATTCTCCTAATGATATGATCTCGTTATCAATGACATCCAATGTCCATAGTCAGGAAACCATGACTATCTGTTGATCAACGAGCTAGTCAACTAGAGGCTTACTAGGGACATGTTGGTGTCTATTATTCACACATGTATTACGATTTCCGGATAAAACAATTATAGCATGAATAAAGATAATTATTATGAACAAAGAAATATAATAATAATGCTTTTATTATTGCCTCTAGGGCATATTTCCAACACTTGCAGGGCCTTGTCTTGCCGGCTCGTTCTTGCCGGGGTTAGTTGCTTCTGTTGTGAATCTCGCAGCTTGTTCCAAGCCTTGGTCTTCTTAATGCGCTCCTTGATCTTATGAAGAGCGGCTTCTCTGGTTTGGTCGTGTATGAAGTTTGATTCTTGCCGGGGGAGCTGCAACACGTCTGTGCATAAGTCAGAGGAGCAAACGCCAATGTTTGCTGCACCGACACGTCTCGAGATTTCTCAAGCTACCAATGTTGAGTGGCACTGATCCATGGAGCTAATTGTTGGCAAGTTCAATCATTACAAGTTGAGAGGCATTTCCCAATGAGCCGGGAATCCTTCCATGGAAATTGCAAGAATAGAGCAACAAAAACTCGAGGTTTGGGATAGCAGATCCAACATCATTCGGGATAACACCAGACAAATCAATACCCGCGACACCCAAAGTGGGCTACTTATAATAGTCAATACACGACGCTGTCTAACTGAGAAATATAACCTCTGTACACGGCCGAAGCCGGCCTGTTATATAGGCGTGGCGCACATCTTGAAAACTTGATCTTCAAGCCTTGTGTACGTAACAGACTAAGAAACGCAGCTAATCATATCTTAACAAAATAATGACCCGGCCACGCTGATCACGTAGGCCGTGAACTACTAGGACTCAACCTACTAGTATGTATAACTATTAGTACTAGAAAAAAATACATGCACAAAATTTTTTGGACGATGCAACATTAACTGAGAACGTCACGTCGCAACAGATTAAATTGCGAAAAAGGGTTTCCTTCGCTTTATCTTTACCTAATAATAAAACAAATTGGGTTTCTTTGAAAAGCCCCTCTGTTTCTTTGAAATCAACCCGCAGTCCCTGTTTAAGTGGCACTCGGAGAAAACGTTTCGTTCTCAGAAAAAGGACCCTGCACTTTCTAATATTAAACCCGCGGTCCGCACGCACAGAAAATCAGCTCGGTTGAGGGGAGTCGAACTCGTTATATTATAAAGCACAACCGCAAATCCGAGAGACGATACAAACTCACGCCACCAACGCACACAACACACATTCCCAAGGCTAGATACAAAGGTGCCGGGCACATAAACACCACTCCACCGACCACCAAACTAACTACGAATATGCAAAGGAGACCGTTTGGAGCCAACGGAGACCTCCATCATGACAAACCACCATGGAGAGGTGAAACAGACAACCACAAAGCCAGGACTCCAGAGCGGTGCCTCCCAAAAGGTAACGACCATAGAGCCGCCACCGCCTGATCCAGAGATCAGGTTTTCACCTGGAGGGAGACGGAGGGAGAGGGAACGCCGCAACGGAGCCTTCAAGAAGGGTACGACGTCACCGACGCCGTCACCGTCGGCCAGAACACGGCTGGACAGGTGATATACCCCAGCGCTCGCCTCCCTCCGACACACCCTAGCTTTGCCAACCACCCACAACCAAGCCACCCGCGTGGCCATGGCTGCTTGCCCGCACCTGAGACGCAAGCTCTGCCCAAGAACGCCGCGCCTCCCGCCACCCGGGCCGCCGCCCGACATACGGACCTCCCCAAGAGCAGCCAAAGTGACCAGCTTTGGTCCGAGAGGACACCCAAAACCGACGCAACCGCAGCCCGCGTCTCGCCTTGAACTTCCCGGAGCTGCCGCCGCACACAAACGGATGGGGAATGGGGAGGAGGGGGAGCAGACGCATCCACGACCGGCGCACCTCGTGCCGGCGACGGGCAGCCTGAGCGACGGCGCCGCCCATCCCTTCCACCAACCTCCCCACCGACACCCACTGTGTCACCCCACTGCGGCAATCGAAGTAGGTTCGCACAAGGCCACCAACGAGGGTCCGTTCACCGGCCAGGGGACCCAACATATCACCACCTACCACCAAGACCGCTCATCGGGGAGTCCAACCACGCCGCTCGCCGGCGTCCAGCCACCGGAGCCAGCTGGAATCTGGCCAACACGTCCGCCAAGGCCGCCGCAGCTGCGCCGCCACCCCTACTAGCCACAGGCCTAGGCAAGGGCGGCCGCCCACAGCCCAGGTCATCCTGGACCCGCGCCGCTGGCCAGGCCAGACCTGGAGCAGCCGCCGCTGCCCGGAGCAGCCACCACCACCGGCCCACCAGTGCGCACCACCCGC